CTGCTTGCTCTGCAATCTTGTTCGCCCATTTTCCATAAAGCTTCTTAATATTATCTGGCAATCTAGCTGTTGTGTTCGAGATTACAGTCTCCATGTTCACCGTCTTATCAGAGCTCCAATTAACTGCTTAGAGCGTAGTAAGTAATGCTCTTGTACTTCTTTGGACCATGTTATAAGGATTAATTTATGAATCTACAGACAAATCAGTTAGAGATGTTCCGCTCTACATACTGTTCGTGTCCCGTCGCCCCACCAGCTGTAAAGCTCAGGGCAGTTAATGTTATCTGCGTCAGATCAGTGGGTTTAAATGGGGCGATTGAACGTGGAGTACTCGAATACTTGCATGCAAGTTGGAGGTCCTACATTCTCTATGGGGCTTCTCTCTTTCTTACTGTTGGGAAAAGGAAGGAGGACAAGTAGGTCCGATATATGGATGAGCTCGTTCTCTTATAGGTGTCACTGTTGTTATGTATTCACGTGTGAAGGAATCCTTCGCAAGCCTTCCATCGCCTAATGTCTTAGACAAGATACCATGTGCTTTGGGATCTAGCCTCTAGTTTGGCTCCAAGCTTTCTTAAGTTTCTTATTGTTTAGTTTTGTTTTCATTAATTTGTGTTATCTCTTCCAAATATGTCATCATATTTGTATTATTTCGACAGCAACCGTCTTTTGTCTATGGAGTACATAATTATGCCCAAAGCTTGCTGTTGCAATTTAAGTCCATGATGTCATCTTTCTTCAAGTAATCCCAATTCTTCCATGTCAAATATTAAGAAGGTTTTTAGTGGATAAATCAATATTCGTTTATGCTTTATACTTATTTAACATTTCAGGCCTGGTATACCTCCAGTAAAAGAAAAGTCGGAAAGTTACTCTAACATAAATTTCAATGGCACGCAACCATAAATCCTTTTCATCATAGGAATTTTGATATTCACATATATCGCTTGATAATTGAGTTTCGTTATCATTTAAAGTATTACAACTTTATTTGTATGAATCTGCTTCTATGTTTTTACAGTTATGATTGCTCAACTCAAAAGCAGATTGATCATTTATACTGGTACTTTTTAACTTTACAACAACTAAACTTTTGAGAATCGATAGAATTACTTTCAAGGCATCTTCAACCTGTGCTGTCGTCACACACTATCTATCTATTGTCTCAATTGGTCATATATGCCTTTGATGTCGTGTCTTGTTCTGATGATTGAGATGATCTTGTGCGTTCCCATATTCAACACCACTTGGTTTACATCTTTACTAAATCTGTCTATGAGTGCCTAGGTACACAAACTCTTTAATGTTACTATACTATCCCGCTCTCCAGCAATATCCAGTAGCCCTGGTGAGCCGTATAGTTTAGAACCTCAGTTGATCCTTATTATTAATTTCTGTCAAGTACTCAGCATGCGAAAAGAAGCAGTGTGTAGATAGTTCCATACGTCAAGCTTGACTTTTGTATCTTGTATATACTTTCATATCTAAAATCTCTCTACGCCACGTAGGTATACAAAATCTTTCTGGAGTAGATCAGGAACGAGGGAAAATGCACAGATCCTGATGTGTATGTTTGACAGGCAGAATAGCATGAATCCTACGCATGACTCTACTGGCTGCCACATCAGGCAGTACCCTTCGAGAAACTTCAAAGATTAGAGTGAAGTTAACGTTTGACAAGGAACCCTTCGGATTGGTCCGAAGGTAGATATCCGCAAGTCTTGTTTCAAGTGCCTGTTGTAGTGCAGGACCAAAGACTTTAGTTATATAACGACATATCCTGGTGTCATATCAGTTTAAGCCTCTTTACATCCTTACGACCATACTGTATTCCATAAAGAAATAGATCCGTTGAAACCCAAGGTTCTCGTAACGTTACAATCAACCACAATGAAAAGACCAGAGAAGTAGCAATTCCTGCAGGACGATACGCGCGTCAATAACTCCGAAATCACAGTTTAGTACATCACAAATCCCACCAATCCATGTTATACTTCCTAATTTATGAATCTTCTTGAGTCTTGCAAATCGCATAGCCATGGATTCGATGACTTCCGACTTGCGAATCGTTATTTACTAATACTTCCAACAACTGTTCACATCCAACTACTTACTACCGGTCAATACATTCGAGCCCATGGAGAATCATTCCTTTCATTCACAGAATCCACATAAAAGCTAAGGTAATTTGAACTAACATATCGATTACAAATTCTTTCCCAGATTTCCGTACCACGAATAGCTATCGAACTGTTTTTCATTCATCACTTTCTCATGCCATATGGAAAGAAACAATGTAGAAGAAAATCCGGGGTAAGTTCGAGGGAAGGAAGTACTTAGCATCAAGACAGATAGATGATTACTTGTCGTCGCTCTCTTCTTCTTTGTGCTATGTATGCATATCTTTTGAAGATATAATCTACCACTGATATTGAAATTGTACGGCACAGTACAGAAATGACATGATAATCATATCTAGCGAAACGGGCTTGAGAATTTTCTGACTTGTAGAAAATATTGTTTGTATATTCAGGCTGGTAATTAATCTTCTATTTTTCATGTCAAGTTCCATCTATTTATCTATAATCCTATCTCTGAACTTTCATAACCTCCTCCCTCTACACAATTCCCTCACTCATCACTCACAATCTCCATCTCCATCTTCAGATGCAACACCATATATATATTCGCCACACCATCCCCTCCAAAACTCCCAGCCATCTCCTTTTTTTTGCATTCTTGAAACTCAATTCTCTTCGTACCGATATGAACCAAGTTAGTATCTTGCACTCGGATCTTTTGAGTGGGTGGACGATAGATGATTTTATCAACATAACTTATCAACATTACTTATCAACATCACTTCTTTGTAACTTTACATTGCTCGAATTGGGGCTGTTCTAAGTAAGTAAGTAGGTAGGTAGGTAAGTAAGCAATCAAGATTCTCTCCCTCCAATATTCCCCTCCAAGTCAGTATCTCCCCCAAGACGCAATCAGCTACCACCTACCTCCCTTCCGTCTCGCTCAACATCTGGAAGTTCTTCATCGGACCTATTGCATATCACATCACATCACTTCCTGCTGCTGCTGCTGCGTTAAAAAGTCATTTTTTTTTCTTCTTTTGATATATACTCGAGTACTTATCTCTATTTTTTCATTCCCTCTTCGTTTATGTTACATTCTTATAGTATATTCTTATTCCCATTTATCCTCAGTCTCGCGATTACATGGATCCCGCTATTATCTCGGGATGCATGTCTCCCCAACAGGAAATACATTGATAATTTGATATTGCTGCTTTGTACTATTTGATTTTTACTAATTACTACTGGGGGGTTGCTGAATAGGGGTTCGGATGTTTGTGTTTGGATATTTGGACATTCATGTGTATATTGATTGTACTAGTTGTGCTGGTGTCGGTATCTGTGCAGAGGAGTTGAGGTTGCGAATTGAGAATTTGAGGAGAGTGAAGGTGGGATTGGATTGATGATTTTGTTTTTGAGTTTGATAATGAGGAGAGGATGGGGATGGTGAGTCTGATGGCAGGGGTAAGATGTGTGCAATTTTTTTGGGTAAATGATCTGTTGAGGGATGGGATGGAGAGCGAAGTGCAGTGATGCTTTTGTATTGGTTGATTTGATTGTAGAGTTGGTGGTTTGTTTGAATGCGGCGGGTTGGGGTTAGTGATTGTTGAGAAGTTTTGTATGATCAGGGTAATGGGGAGGGAAAATAGGGAAAGGAAGCTATGGCAACGGGGCGGGTTTGAAGTTGTGGAATAGATCTATGGTTAGAGGGAAGGTTTTGTGGATTTGGCGGAGGGGGGAGATGAGTCTGGTCTGGTTTGGGGTGAAGAAGATTAGGATCGATATGTATGGTGGTGTACAAGATAGAATGATACGGAGAGATCAATGGATCCACATGGACATGGAGAGGGAAATGTTGTAGAGAAATAGAGAAATAGAGAAATAGAGAAATAGAGAAATAGAGAAATAGAGAAATAGAGAAATAGAGAAATAGAGAAATAGAGAAATAGAGAAATAGAGAAATAGAGAAATAGAGAAATAGAGAAATAGAGAAATAGAGAAATAGAGAAATAGAGAAATAGAGAAATAGAGAAATAGAGAAATAGAGAAATAGAGAAATAGAGAAATAGAGAAATAGAGAAATAGAGACAGAAACGAAAATGAAATCACATACTGTAAATACAACTAATCAACCTCTTGAAAATTTTCCTCAACCCACAAATTTAGAAAGAATTTTCGGACTACGTAGTACATACATAAATTCTTCATCATTATAAAATTGAAACACCTTAATCAGTATTGTATATTCATCTAGGTTATGTTTTTACATCAATAGTAAATTATAAGTAGGATATTCAAATTTCAATAACTCAGACAGATGGAATTCTTCTCTGAGTGCTTATGATATTTGATACTTGAATTTCCAAGAAGAATGGCATTCAAAAGAGTAATAAAGATAAATGATTACAGTATTAAAATTTATTGTAGAATCTTGAGAATGAGCTGATATGAGATATTGCTGTGCTGTGAAGGAAGGAAGGAATAATAATAGTTCTTATAGAGTAGAATTACAGGAAATAGTATATGAGAAACAGAGAACTTTCATTTTCGATAAAGGAGGGAATTTAAAATCCTTTGAATGAGTATAATGAATCCAATGAGTAAGAATGAAACAATACAAGAAATATCATCACAATTCACAATCAATTTGCAGAAGAAGACTAGAAGTTTTTTTTTTGACCAGCAAGAGCATCAACATTAAGTTTATAAAGGAGTGGCTATACTAGATACAATATGAAACTGTAAGAGTAGTATATCTCTTTCTTTTTTTCCAACAACCAAGGACAACCCCAATATGTGACAAATGAAAATTCTCCACCGCTCCATCCCATCCCCGATTTCCAATTCCTGTTCCTCAACTCCTGGTATGAATCCCGATCCCAACTACCGTATTCCTAAATGATTCTTGCGAAAAATCTAAGCACGGAACTTGGCACCGATGGATCTCTTGGGGGGAGCTGCGGTAGCATTACCGGCAGCACCAGCGGTTGAAGCACCAGCCATTTGGAAAGCGGCGACACCACCGAAAGGACCAGCGCCCGATGGGTTAGCAAGCTTGACCAAGCAGACATTCTCTTGACCACCGACGGATCCAGTGCAGGACATGCCTGCTGGCATGGAGACGGCGATGGGGTAGTCCTCGTTGACGTTCTTGGCACGCTTGACGATACCCATGTTGACGAGAGATCTCATGATGAGGGAACGTTGCTTGGGTGCGGCGATGTTACCCTTGGTACCTGGTACTTGAGTGGTAACCTTGGCTTGGGTACCTTGAGAGAAGGCACCGGTACCGGTTGGGTCGACGATGGCAGAGTATGGTCCAGCTCCATCAGTGGTGACGATGTGGATAGTTCCACTGAGCTGACCTCCATCGGAAACTTGAGGAAGGGTGGAACCGGAAGCAGCCATGACAGCAGTCATGTCAGCCATGGTGTTGGCACCAGCCTTTGTCTTTCCAAGACCATCGGTAGCGGCGTTCTTGCTGTTGAAGACAGTGGTGTCGACCTCAGTTTGCTTGTTGGTTCCGGCACCAGGGATGACGCCACCTTGGATACCGAGACCAGTGGTGTTTCCTCCCATGTCACCAGTCTGAAATAATGAGTTAGTATGAACAATTGGAAGCGGAGATGATGAAAGAAGAATCATCAGATGAGAAGAGATGAGATAGAGTACTAACCATGACTGCGATCTTGCCATGGGCGGCAACGAGAGGGATGATAGCGGCGACGGCGATAGTATAACGCATATTTGCTGATTTGGGTTGGTTGGTTGGTTTTTAAAGGTTTATTGAAAATTAAAGATTTTAAGATGTATAAAGCGGGATACTAGTCAATAGTATGCGGCTGGAAATGAAAGATAATTGGAAGATTGAAAGAAACTGAAAAACTGTTGATGCTGAGGAGAGAATTGTAAACGGAGGGATATTCAGTTCCTTTAATAGTTTCTCAACCACAGGCAAATCGACTCCAAAGTACTATGATCAGACCAATTTCCATACTACGGGAGATAGTATCCATGGGAAACTTGCCAAGAGCAGTCCAAAGTTCCATACCGGACTCAATGCGACGAGAAGGAGGACAATGGGAAGCGATGCGAAGTCTGTGCTGAACCTCCGTTCCTGATGCACAGAGCTTATCCGACATATTGTGGATACAAACAATCAAAGGTTCAACCATCTTGTCAGCACAGTAGCAAAATAGTGGAGTAATTGCCACGACCGGATGATAGATAATTCACACTAGATAAAAAGGTCTAAACTCTTTGCCATTGTAACATTGAAGTCCTAACATCCAGGTAAAATGGACCGCCAGTGGGCCTACGAGACAGAGTGCGGAGAAGGTATCCAGGAAGTACGATAATTTTTGGTTGATGATTAGAATCTTGAGGAGTATCGAAACATGAAATGTTTTCGCCTCAACAGGTCGCATCGGAGTTGGTATGCTTCTTGGCAGATGTAGTCAAACAGGGTCAGGTTTCTTCATATGCTCTTGTCTGTGCACGTTTCCAAAGCCACACTCGACTGAAGGGGTGAAAACACATATGGCTAAGGCTGATTGCATTTGAGACGTTCAAAACATTATGTTGGTTTGAAATATTGTCACTAGACCAATTCCAATAGAAGCAAAGACTGGAGAAAGGACTGCAAGTTTCGAAGTCATACCTTTGCAAGTGTACACGCTTAATGATCAAGACTTGCCAGAATCATCAGTAACCTTATTGCACCCAGCAAACCACAACTCTTAAGAGTCATGTTAGCTACAATGCAGGATTTGAATTTTGTTAGACGAGAAGTCGCTCTGAACTGGACTTTGAATACCGGAGGCGGCCCGTCGTATTGCCCCCTTTCCAGCACGGTAGCTTCCAAAATAGTGCTGATGTCGAATTAAGCTTGTTGAATGCTCCCAATCGACCAATCAGTAATTGCTCTGGCGATCAATGTGGAGTTTCGATGGAGCATGGAGAAAGGCCTGCTGGCCTGGAATTAATCCATGACTCTGTGAGTTTGTGTGAAAAATAACCATGCTTCGCCGGTCGGTATCTGATAATTGGGACCCTTGAAGCAATCATGTAATTGCATATTGTAGATCTTTTCGATATTCAAACAACAGACCTCTCACAACTGGTCGAAGCTTTCAAAACCTGAATCTCATCAAGTTGCAAACGCTCAAAAGAAGTTAATTTGTGTTTAAAATTGTGTCAAGGTCCAAGGACTTCGCCGCACTGGTAGGTCGGGAGATCTTATTTGATACTGCATTATTGACCTTTGCAACAGTTCTTTGCGGCTCATCCCTCTTGTCTAGCAATTGTTTTGTGTTCCGTTTGGTCTGAAATCAATGCAAATAAATTATCGGCAAAATAGAAAGTAGGTATTGACAGTAATAATCACGTGCAGATATGGCTTAGTCGAAGAACCATACTTGATTTGGTCATAGTCGATGTCCTAGAGGTTCGACTGGTGTTTCAGAACATGAGCTTCGGATGGAAATGGATCATTGCTCGGATAGCATTGCCTTCCTTAAATCATCCAGCCGGGTGCAGTGACCAAAACGTTTTATATTGCTTTGTCCCTTGCGATGAGAGACTGACTGTACCCAGGCACCGAACTTCTGTCTCATTACAAGCTTCACAGATGTGCTATGCTGGAGAAAATCTATGGAGAAATATGATGGCTGGTAAGGAAGGCTTTGAGGCTCGGTTAGATTTGCATTAACAATCCCCCCATCATGGTATCAACTTTGCATTGTGTATCTAGATGGATGGTTGTTGTCATAACCAAAAATGATATATCTTCAAAGTTCAAACGAAGTTCATAGCAAACCCACTATGTATCTCCTGAGTTCCAACTTCCAAAACGTTTCAAACGCAGCACACACAGAACTGATTCAATGGTGCTCATCTGGAGACAGGGCTCGAGTTTGCGCGGTAAGAACTTCCTCACATCCTCTCACCATGTCATATATCGGACAAATCCTTCCAAGTTTTCCACCTGTATAAAGGCTTTCGGCACATATGGGCGTGATATATCAGTCAATATTCCCGGTTGCATGAAATCCTCATCCAATTCAAGTCCACCCTATTCATTCGCGGACACACATTAATGAATCTTCTCCAAAGATCTCAGATATACTACATTCTTCTTTAATCATACCACCAATCCATACCCGGCCACTTTCAACAGTTGGCGCCCCAAATTTTACCACTGTACATCCTCTCACTTTGGCAGCGGACCAAAGAATACCTTCATTCCTTTCTTGTTGAAGTCGTCGAAGTCTCCATGATTCTTCTCTCGATAGAATGATTTCGTTGTCTCTCTCTTTCCTATCATCAGAACGAAAATCTCTAGCACCAATTCTGGGAAGTGCAGCAAACTCAGACAAGAAGAATGCAGATAACTTCTCGACCAAAGGACCTTTCAAGATCAATGTACCAAAAATACCATTCCCGCGCATTTTATGCCGTAGTAATTTCTCTTGGGCCGTTGCTTCATCTCCTTCTAACAAGACATTATCTCTTAGCAGAAGCCTTTTCTTCATATCCTTTCCTATCGACCAAATTTCGTTTCGCCCACTCCATGCGCGTAAATCCCAATTTTCCCCTCTTGCAGTTCTCCCAGCTGAAACCCAATCTAATAAACAAAGAGATCCCCCTTCTTTGAGATTGAACGTTTGTGATTGTTCGTATACACTTGCCGCGAAAGGCTGAACTGGATCGGGTAATAAACAAACAGAAGCACCATCCTCAATGGTAACTTGCAAATGTTGACGTGTAATAACATCACGTGTTGGTGATTTGAATATCTTGGTATGGCCTTGTGTAACGATACTCAACTTTGCATTTGGGTTGACATCTATCTTGAGATGAACTTGATCCCCACCGACAAGACCTCCACCATATGTCAGAAGAAAGACCAGGACGCTCTTTTGTTCAGCTGAAGGGGAAGGAGATATCAGTTTTAGTGGGTATTGGAAAGTCATTCGTGATAGAGCGGAGATTGAATGAGGTAGTAAGTGAACAACCAAATGCCCCTCGCCTGGAGCAGACGATGAAGGGGGGAAAGGAGATAGCATATTGAGTACTAAGTAAAGCTTTGGTGAAGGATGAAAAGTACGGTGGAAGGAATATGTTGTTATCGTATCATTTTAGAACTGGTAGAATTGGTAGAACTGGTGAATGGATAGTTTTGGATAATTTTGACTTCGTCCTCGTAGAAAGCAAAGCATCCTTCAACCTGTACAGAGAGAGACGGGGAGAGTAACTTTATCAATTTCTGATTATCTTTTCGATAAACAATTTCTCATAACATTTACCCCATTGAAGTGGAGAGAGAAGATAAGACAAGACAAGACAAGGCAAGGCAAGGTAAAGAAAGCGGGAGGAGCTGGATACATACATACATACATACATACATGGAGACAAGCTGTAACCGTACCTACATGCTGAAGAGGCTTGGAAATAAGCGTTGGAAGCCTTAAAAAAAGCTGAGTGGCGCTAAATCCAATCAAAAACGTTCAAACGCGATATTCATTCAATTCTCGCGATACGTCAACATTAATAAATCACAACTTACAACCAAACGCGCCATATCACCCCAAATCATTCTTTAAATTTCAGCCAAATGCGCAATTGATGCGCTGATGAATACTCAACGATTGCCACTCATGGAGATCGAAAATGATGTATCAAGTACACCCGTCGTATCTGGTAGAAGGAAATCAGGACGCGCCGTAAAAGCACCCGAGAAATTCGTTCCAGATTTACCCTCATCAGCAATTCGGTCCACAAACGCCAAAAGGAAGAGATCCGATGAAGAAGGAGAAGATGACGCGTCAGAGGAAGAAGAAGTAGAAGCAGAAGAAGAGGATGAGGACGATGAATTAGAGGAAGAAAGTGCGGGGGAAGAAGAATTAAAAGAAGCTCGAAGGAAAGCCAGAACTTCCAAGAAACCTGCAGCAAAGAAACCGAAAATAAATGGCACAGCTTCACATGCCAGAGCGCCAGCTGTAAGATTGCCAAATCGACCCAAGAAAGCAAAGACAGTTGTCATAGCAGATGAGGATGCTGAAGGACTTTATGGTATGCGCCATGAGCAATTCTGGTCCTATTATTAAATTATACTGACTTCTTTTATAGCTGATGTTTATACGAGTGGGCGACCATCCGATGAGGTTGTTTCCAGCTTCCTGGAAAAATATGCACAAAATGGTCCTGGAGCTGTGGCAGAATTGATAAATTTTGTATTGAAGAGTGCTGGTTGCGACCTTGTTGTCAACGAGGATGATGTTAACGATGCTGATAATGTTAATGGGAAGATTGCAGACCTTCAAGATGAACACCAAGCAGTAAGTTTTGGCACATTCCTTGGATTTAACTATGCTGAATTATGTGGTAGCAAAACATATCCGATTATCCATTAATCTCACGAGCGAAGAATAGCCACGCCTTTCGTACCTCTTTCCTCGATTTCTTCGACTCTTTAAACAAAACAATGAACGCCTCTGGAGCACTTTATGATGAGGACGAACCATTAATGGAAAGCATATTCCATTGGATGGCTTCCATGTCGTCTTCGAACCTACGACCTTTCAGACATACTGCGACTGCCGTTGCTTTAACTATTGCCACTTCTACCTGTCAAGTCGCGAAGGAACAAATCGAAATTGCTGCAAGAACATTACGTCAACTCGAAGGAGAAAAGAAAAACAAACGACCCAACAAAGGTAGACTGGCAGACTTTGAGAGGAAGGTTCGGGAAGGAGAAGGCAAGAAGGAGATTTTAGAAGAACGATTGAAGGATATTTTCGATACAATTTGGGTTCATAGATATCGAGATGTTGACCCGAAAATCCGGACAGAATGTATTGAAGCACTAGGTCTTTGGATTCATACCCTACCTGGTTATTGGTTCGATGGGCAATATCTACGATATCTGGGATGGATGCTCACAGATTCGGCTTCAACTATGCGACTCGAAGTGGTTAAACAATTACAAAGAATTTTGAAGAATTCTGGCAATGTTTCAAGAATGGGTACATTCATCGAACGATTTAGACCTCGGATTATTGAAATCGCCACAAGAGATTCGGATGCTGCTGTTCGGTCAAATGCAGTTGATTTGGTTGATATACTTCGAAAGGGGGGAATG